GATTAAAGAATGGGCAGAAGTTCTGCACAGACATTTCTCCAAAGAAGACACACAAATAGCCAACCAGTACAGTATATGAAAAGATACTCAACACAACTAATCATCAGGGAAATACATATTAAAACCACAATGAGATATCACCTCACACCTGTTAAAGCGCCTGTTACTAATAAAAGATAACAAGTGTTGGCAAGAATGGGGAGAAAAGGAAACCCCTGTACTCTATTGGTAGAAATGTAAATTGGTGCAACCACCATGGAAAACAGTATATAGGTTCCTCAAAAAATTAAAAATATAACTACCATCTGCTCCAGCAATCCCATTTCTGGGTATATACACAGAGGAACTGAAATTACTATCTCAAAAATGTATCTGCACTGCCATTTTCACTGCAGCATTATTCACAGTAGTCAAGACATGGAATCAACATGTGTCTATCAATGCATGAATGGGTAAAATGCAGTATATACATAAAATGGATATATGTACCCATTCAGCCTTAAAAAAGAAGGAAATCATGCCATTTGTGCATGAATGAAACTGGAGGATATTATGTAAGTGACATAAGCCAGATACAGAAGAACAAATACTACATGATACCACTTATATGAGGAATCTAAAATAGTCCAACTCGTGGAAGCAGAGAGTGGAATGGTAGTTATCAGGGGTGGGGGAGAAAAGGGAAACAGGTATTAGTCAAAGGGCACAAAGTCACAGCTACACAAGATGAGTCAAGTCCTAGAGGCCTACTGCACAGCATAAAGCCTATAGTGAACAACACTGTACTGTGTACTTAAAAATAGGCAGAGGGTAGATCTTGTGTTAATGTTCTTATCACAAAATAACAACAATAAGTAAAGAGTGTGTGAGGAAATTTTTGAAGAGGATGGATATGCTTATGACATAGATTGTGGTGTTTTCACAGGTGTATACTTACCTACACACTCATTAAGTTATATATAAAATATGTACAACTTTTTGTATGTCAATTATACAACAAAGTGGTTTTTTAAAAAAGAATATTGGAAGTCCATAAAAGCTGTAGAGGGAACAGAACCAAGCTTGGTGGGTAGTAACCAGAAATAATTCTCAGAATCATGCCCCAGCCCTGGTTGGGCATAGACACTAGTACATTCAGTGCTGCAGGGGCACTGCTGTCATGAAGGATACCAGAGCCTGGACACCGCTGCTAGAAACAAGATGCAGCCATACTGCTGCAAATTCCCATCAACAGAGACATAACATGGTTCCTACTTCTTTGCAACCTCATCTTTGATTGAAACTCTGAAGCAGGTGTGTTTGATAGACCTAGCCAAAACTCTTTGCACATGCCCTAGCTACAAGAGGTGCTGGGTAGCTTAGTGCATTCAGGCTGCTATAACAAAATACTACAGATTTGGTGGCTTAGAAACTATGGAAATTTCTTTCTCGTAGTTCTAGAAGCTGTGAGTCCAAGATCAGGGTGTCAGTGTAGTCAGGTAAGGGCCCACTTTCGGGTTGTAGACCTCTGTTTGTAACCTCACAAGGTCGAAGGGCAAAGGAGCTCTCTCAGTACCTCTTTTATAAGGGCAGTAATTCCATTCATGAGGGCAGAACCCTCGTGACCTGATCACCTCCCAAAGACCCTACCTCCAAATGCCATCACCTTGGGCATTAGGTTTTCAACATATGAATCTGGAAGTGGGGGATGACCTAGACATTCATACCATAGCAGTGGGAAAGGAAGATCTGGTCTTTTCAGCCTCTATTATGGGCTACAGGTTTTGCCTCAGAGGGGGTTCCCAAACTCCTATAAGAATGCTAGGTCTGTACTACAGCACCCTACCCTACCTTAGCCTACCCTACCTCTCCAGCTCCATTCCCTATCCCTCTCTGCTTTCCCTAGCACTGATCAGGTTCCAAGTCCTTATAGCTCTCCGAGACTTCACTAATGCTTCTAACCCACTTGGTATTGTTGCCTGAAATCCACTTCCTGACTACTATGAACTTGAACTCCTTACCCTCGAAGACTTACCTCAAACATAACTTCTATGAAACCAATTGAAACTCTGCAAATATGCCAAGCCCAGAAAAGGAGTGTCCATCCAGATAAGGGGCCTTTTTCACCTGCAGTAACCTTAAGTATTTTGTTAATATACTGATTCCAGCAGGGGCCCTCTCAAAACCAAGGAGCAGGGGAATGTAAGGGACATCTGTGATAGCTGGGTTCTCCCTCCCTCCCCTTTGTTACAAACATGGTGACTAGCTTCCTGAGATCCTGAGAATCAGATGTGAGTAGCTAGGAGAGATCCCTGTCATATGCCTGGTTGACATGGAGACCAGAGACAGAAAATCAAATTGCCCCATTTGCTAAGTACTCAGAGCAAGTCTGCTCTCATTTCAGACCAGAAGGAACTGTTGCCCACTAGGCTTCCCCCAATTTTCTCAGAAGATGGGAATTACTCTGTGCACCAGAATAGCCATACAAGGTATCATGAAGCTGTACGGAAGGTGTTGTTAAAGACATGTAAATATCTTAGAGTGGGCACCATGCTAGGGACAGAACAGGTATGTCCAAGTTCCTAAAGAATGGCTGGGATGTGGTTCTGGGGCAGGAAAAAGAAAAAACAAGAGACTGAGAAGAGGAAGGAGAAAGCGAACTTGAATGGTGGATTGAGCAAGATAAAAAAAATTTGAATCAGGTGCAGGAGATTCAGATTTGAGTCCTAGTTCTGCCTTTTAAGTGTCTCACTTTGGGTAGTTGTTTATCCTTTATTTATTCTTTTATATTTTGACCCAAAATGTTTATTTTAATAATGTTGGTATAACAAAATGTATCAAAAACCATCTCAAACGTTGACAAACTTGTTGCCCTTAAGAGATGAGAATATTACATATGAAAATGAGAATGTGTATAATTAATGAGCTCTTGTAGGGATAAGAAAACCAAATTAATAAATGCCCTAATTCTTTTGATCTGATTGTCTGGAAGGCAGGGACAGTGACTGGGGACAGCCAGAGGACACTTAAAAGCTACCACACCTCCTCCTACCATGTTGAGGGATTTGGAAGATTCTGGCAGAACATGTCATAAAATAGGACCTCACACCCACACTTTTGTTAAAACGGCAGTAGTGGCAACTCAACCCACAGAAGGAAATCAAGGAAAATGGGAATCCACCGAATACACCTAGCTCTTAATGAAGCCTGTGCTGAGATTTCCTTTAACCCTGTCTCCGTGAGGTGACACTGCCTAAATGAAATCATGGAGCTGCCATACCTGACTGGGAGGCCTGAAAGATCTTGGTATTTTGGCCTCATTTTTCTCTTTTAATCCACAGCCCATTTATCCCTTATTAATCTGCTTTCTTTTCATTAAAAAAAAAAACAGCAAATGCCTACTCTACCAATCTTACAGAATTGTTGTGAGCATTAAAACAAAGACATTTGGAAAAGTACTTTGTATATTATCACACTATGCCTGTGAGGAGTGGTAGACCCAGCACTGGCTTTAGAGTTTGACCTGCATTTAAACTCCAAACTAGTTGTGCAACCTTGGGCAAGTTGCTTTAACCACTTAACCTATCTGAACCATCTGAAAACAGGAATAATACTCTTGCATTGTTGTAAAAGTTAGAGAAAATGTACATTTAAAAAAGCATCTAGGACAAACTACTGATACATATGATACCATGTAGGCATCTCCAGGAAATTATGCTGTGTAAAGAAAGCCAATCCCCAAAAGATTAGACTGTATGATGCCATTTATATAACATTCTTAAAATGACAAAATTAGAGAAATGATGAGTACATTATTGATCAACAAGTGGGGAGTGGTGCAGTGGAAGGATGTGTCTACAAACGGGTAACTCTAGGACCCTGTGGTAAAGGAACTGCTCTGTATCACTATGTTAATATCCAGATTGTAATATATATAGTACCACAGGTTTTCAAGATGTTACCACTGGGGGGACTGAGTAAAGAGTACTCAGGATCTCTTTGTGTCATTTCTTAGAACTGCATGTGAATCTATAATTATCTCAAAATAATGTTTAATTTAAAAAATAAAATATTTTCAGAAATTAAATATATATATATATATAAATATGCATGAAGAGGAGTATCTGAGAGTACCTATGGAATACCTAAGTTATTCCTAATAGCAAAACTTTTTAATAGCTTATTATCAATAGCAAAACAGCTAAAAGAAAAATGTAACATCTACTCAATGGTATATTAGGAATTTTTTTTTAACTATTATAAGGACTATATAGCCAGACTATTAGGCTATAATTATAAGTTTAAAAAAATATACAGATTTTACATACTGGTATAATTAGATTTATCCAAATAATAAGTGAAAATGAAATCTAGATAAGTCAGATATTTTTTTTTAACTATTATAAGGACTATATAGCCAGACTATTAGGCTATAATTATAAGTTTAAAAAAATATACAGATTTTACATACTGGTATAATTAGATTTATCCAAATAATAAGTGAAAATGAAATCTAGATAAGTCAGATACTATTTCAAAATCTTGACACCTACTACATTTAAAACATGATATGCATTTGACAAATGCATCTATTAGCAGTATCAAAACATGAGGTGGTATCATTGCTAAATTTCAGAGAATAATCTGGAATGAGCAAAGGAAGGGATTATTTCAGAGAGGGAAGGAACTTGGAATGATTAAGCCTAGAAAAGAAAAAAAAAAGAGCCGGTGGGCCCATCTTACATATTTCCCAAGTGTGCTGACCACTTGTTTTCCCACCCTCTTAGCTCCTGGGGAAAGCTCTCTTGGAGATGGGCTTAGTTAGTAGCAGCAGGAAGAACCAACAGTGATTCAACTGGCCATGAAGGGTGTAAGATGCTGGAATCCAAAAGTGAAGCCAGGTGTGGTGACCAGATTCCCAGGACTTCTCAGTACCTGGTCAGCTTGTGCTTCCCTGAGGCACAAAAGGGAGCAGAGAGCTCAAAGAAGTTTCATAATCTGCCCTTCCCCCAACCATTCAGTCCCCAATCAGGTCTTTAGAGTTCCTTTGACTGATGCTCAGAACTTCAGCTTCTGGCGGTCCCATGATCCAGGAGTGCGCCCAGAGGAAACCATGCCATGGATCCGGAGCTCTCGCCATTGCCTCATTAAGAGCCCAATGACCAGGTTAGGCTTGGGGAGGTTGAGGGTGGGAGACCAAGGGAAGTACTCCCTCTCTTCAGTTAAATCCTTAGAGGCGGTTTATTTCGTCAGGGAATAGAAGAGGAGGTTTGGGTCTTACCAGGGAAAACTGGCCCCAGAATCTGGGCAGTGATGGCATTCAAAGCAGACTTGTCTGTGTCTTTGCGTTTCACCTTCTGGATATGACTTCTGAGCAGGCATAAGACAATGTCTAACATTGCTGTGGGAGTCCAGGGATGTTTCCACCCGCTTCGTTGCTCCTTCCCCTCCTCTCCAACCACCAAGGAGCCCTACTTTCTCATCACCACTACTGCCCATTGTGTCCTGAGGTAGTCTTGGGAGCTATGTTTAAGGACCTCCCACCCACCCACTCCAGCCCTGCCTGGCTGAATCTGAGACCCTCTCTCTCTTTTCCAGGTTTATGGATCACTCTACTCTCAGTGACAGAACCTTCAGTCTGTATTGAGCAAGATGTGTTTGCAGAAGGACAAGTTGGACTGTGGAAGGAGGGCAAAGAATGGAAAGAGGAAGGTGTCCTGGTCCTCATGGTCCACTAAAGGGGGGAGAGGATAGAGAAAGCAGAATAAACAGATTGGATTGGAAGTAACCGGTGTGCACTGAAAGTGAGGAGGTGGGAAATTATTCCAGTGCCCAAACCCCTGCAAGAGTAGATGTGCAAGAGATTCTTGAAGGAGCCAGAACTTGGTGTTTGGTTTGGAAGGGGCCAGGGCACTAGAAAGACCACCACATGGGTTCTTGACCTTAGGCCTGGCAGGCGGCAAAGCAACAAATCTGGGAAGATACACACTGGTCCTCATGATGCTAAAGAGCCTAGAGTAGTCATGCTCCCTGAAGAAACTGTAGCTTCACCTTGGCAAGGAAAAAAGCAAAGGAAGCCCTCTGACCACAGGCAAGAGAGGTCCACAGAGCCCCTGAGCAGGAGGCTGCCTCCTGTACCACCCTCTGACACTTCTGACCCAACCCTGAACCCAGAACATCTGCAGAGAACAAGGAATTTTACAAAGAGTTTGATTTTATTGATATTTAAATATATTAAATATTTCACTGAAATACATGGTACTCCCCCCACCCTCACTCCCACAGTGGTTACATTATAAAACCAAAGTCCATTGGCCTCCCATGCACTGACTCCCCTATCAACTGGTGAGGAAGGGGGCAGTGGTAGCTGGGGTAAGGGCATGGCGGGCACTGTGGTACAGGGAGCTAAGGTGTGGACAGGCTCCTCGCCCTGGCAAGAAGGAGAGACAAGTCACCTAAGACTGACGTCTTCCACTCTGGTCTCCTTACACAACTCACCCCGACCCTAGGGCTCCACACAGTCCCTTCCTATCCAAAGATATGGCTGAGGGAAGGGGAGCTGATTTTCCATCCGGACCAGGTAGGCTTTTCCCCTCCTCCTGCCTTGACTAATGAAATGCCTGATGGTTCACTCAGTGGATGTATGAAGATCCCCCAAGGCAGGCTGTACAAGCCAGAAATCAGGCCTTTGCAAGGAGCTAGAGTCAGCAGGCGTGAGGAAGGGCAGAGTGTCACCTGCCCCTTCAACTCCCAACTCTCTTTCCTCTGCCTCTCTAACTGCCTCCAAGACAAAGCAGTCTTCAAGCAAAATTCAGGCTAATGCCTCTGGTTTAAATAGGGACAAACAGAGAAACCAAGGCACCAGTTAATGCAGGCCAGAGACAAGGAGGTTGCGGGAAAAGGGGTAAAAGGCAGGCAGGGATAGGAAGGGAATCCCTCCAGCCAGCCCTTGCAGGCTTCACGGGGATAGGGGAGCCAGAAATGTGCTAGACTCAAGCTGAAGGCTGAGGAAGGCCCAAGTTTCAGGGTTGCCTGCCCCATCCCCTAGTACCAGTACCTGGGTGCTCAGAGGGATCCCATGCTATCCCAGTCCCAGTGCATACAGAGTCCCAGGACACCAGATGCAGAACCCAGAAAATTCCTGAGCCCAGACAGTTCAAGTGCATGGAGCACTGGGGCTGAAGCAGGTGCTTAGGCCCCTGCCCTAGGCAGGGAGACAGTCATGCTGCACACGCGGCCCCCAAATGGCACTTAGGGATTTGGCACAAAAAGGACTCTTCTCCCCAGGGCTCCTCTCTTGCTACTGTGCCCCATCCCACTCCTGTGCAACCTAGGCATTTCCCCATCCTCTGAAATGGGAAACCCTGCCTGATTCCCAGAAGACAGAGGCCTAAAGGAGAGAGGCAACCCAGGGTGGAGAGCTGAGGAGCAGGAGCACGAGGACACACGCAGGCCTGGGAAACACATACGCGAAGCCAACATGCCCGCACATTACACAGACACACAGGCCCTCCCCACTACCAGAGACCTGGGAGGACAAGCTTGGGATAAGGGTCATCTTCCTCCATGCCCTGACCCTTCTCTACTTGGCAACAGATGGGGTAGAGATGCTCCACTCCACTGCCAGCAGACAGCAAGAGAGCACTGGGGCAGAGTGACCTAACTCTGACCCCATCGGGGCCCTCAGATCAGAGTCTGGCCCCACCCTGTTCCCTGGTCAGCCTGCTGCTTTGGCACCTGCAGGTGACCTTTCAGCTCCTGATCTTTTGACATCCCTACACACGTGCTTGCTCTCTACTGGGCATTTTCACAGTACCAATGAGGCCAGATGCCCCTTTCCCTGGAGCTGTGCGGGAACTGGGGCTAAATCTGAGCTGTTGAAAGTCCCTTTGTTCCCCTTTGGGGACAGATCACGGGACTAGGATTTGGCAAATGGAAACATTCCCCTGATATATAGACAGAGCTAGTTCCCTAGAGCATCTCCCTCCTCTTCCCTGTGCAGAGAAGGGAGACCTGGCTGGAGCTGGGGGCACCCAGGACCGGTGCTGGGGGTGCAGGCACAGTGAAGGCAAGCATGGGACAGGCACTGTCATGCCTGCACCAGTCTTTGTACAAAATGTTCCCAGGAAAAAGGGAAAGAAAGGGCCCAGCCCTGAGTCTGCTGCCCAGACAGACAAGGAAACGTAAGCAAGGCAAGCTGCCATTGTAATTTCTCAGGTCTGCTGCTGCCCTATCCCCTGCTCCCAAAAGCTGGAAGGAAGGAGAGGGAACAGCCCTACCCCAGTAAAAAGAGAAAGTCACTTGCGTAATCCTCTTGGTATCCCCTCATTCACCAGCCTGAGGGCAGACAAACATGGTCCATGCACAGCCTGCTGAGGTTTTCCCTTCTGTGGTCACCAGGGTCTGAGCCCCTGCCACAGTTCCACCCAGCGAGCACAGAGTCCACTCAAATGCCCACCTTGGTCCCTTCTGCTGAATTTGTAGCTGGGCCCTGCTAACTGCTGGGGCCCCCATTGAGGAAGTAGGTGGTCATCTCCCCCTTGCCCTTCACCTTGACCACCCCTCGACATTCCAGCTGGTAGCCCTTGGCCGCTAGAACCTGGTACAGGTCCGTGGTCACCTGAGGGGAGGAGGGGAGCCCACTTAGCCCAGGATCCTTCCTGCTATACTTGCAGGGGCCCAGGGCTTCTTTAGTCATGCCAGCTCCCCTCCCCAACCCTCACCCCACCAACTACAGAACATTGCTACTCTACCCGTCCTAGCTGACTGCACAGGAGCCTGCGGAAGCCCTCCAGACCCATATCCCTCCCAGCCTCTGCTCACATCCACCTCACCTGGATTCGGTCAGGGACCCCCGTGCTATCCATACGGCTAGAGACATTCACTGTGTTCCCCCAGATGTCATACTGCGGCTTCCGAGCCCCAATGACGCCTGCCACGACTGGGCCCATGTTCAGCCCTGGGATGGGGACAGCAAGAAACTCAGACCAGTGGATGTTACAGGGCCAGCCCAGGGGGTCATCCTACCTCCTGGCACCTTTAGAAGGACCCAGAGAAGAAAGTAGTAAAGGGACAAGTGTCCTGATTGTAAAGAATGGAAGATCTGGGCATGTGAGCTGAGGAGCTTCCCTGAGTCAAGACAGTCATGCTGTAACAGTCACTAATCTACTGAATGCTCCCTTAGGGCCAACCACTGTGGTCAGCATTTTCCATTATTTCATCCTCTCAACAGCCCTATAAGGTAGTTATCATTATCCCCATTTTACAGATGAGCTAAGTGAAGCTTAGAGAGGTTAGGTGACTTGCTAAAGAAGTATGTGAAACAGCCAGAATTCAACCAGCCTGACTCCAGAACACATGCTATTAACCAAGCCTCTCACCCACCACTTCATCTGACAGGAAGTGCATCTTATCAGACTGGCCATGGGTAAGGGCCACAGGCCCTGAAATTTAGATTAACCTGGTTTCAAATCCAAGTTCAGCCACCAACTAGCTATTTGACCTTGGCTGAATTATTTAATCTTTCTGAGTCAGTCTCCTTATCTGTAAAAGGGGATAATAATGTGAGGATTAAAATGTGCTCAGAAATGTCTAGGAAAAATGCCAAAGACACAGTAGGCCCTCAATAAATGATCTCTGATAACATCAGATGATATAGGAGGTAGGAGAAAGGGAAACCCTGCAGGAGTCCTCATGGGGAGTCTGTAAAGCTGCCCCCAGCCCGCTCCCTGGGCTCCACCCGGAAACAGTCCTGGGAAAACCTGCAGGGCAGCCAAGCCCTCACCGATCTTCATCTGGAAGTTGTTGAAGGAGTGCTCATTGATGTGCTTCATCTGCTCCATGAGCCGCATGGCGTAGTCCGCAAGCGCAGTGATGTGGGAGCGGCCTGCCTGATCATAGGTGCTGGCGTTCAGCCCAGAGGCGGCCATGTAAGTGCTACCAATTGTCTTGATCTTCTCCAGCTGCCGGAACCGCTCCTCGCTGATGATCTGAACGGCACAGGGAGACCTGGCTGTCAAGGCAAAGAGGCCAAACCCCCCTGTCCCGGTGTTCATTTCGTGCCCCGCCTTGGCCCTTCCCACTTCCCTGTCTGAACACTCCCCTCCTGTAGGTGAGTAAGCCCCGTTCTTGGCTGCTGCTCTCAGCACAGGACTGAGGAGCTAGGAAAACAGGCCTCCTTCGCTGGGCAGAACCACAGGCCAGGACTTGAGCACACAGCTTCAAGTCAACTTCAACAGCTCACAAACTCCAGACCCACAGAAGGGATATTAGGCATCAATTATTCCAACCCTCACCTTTTGGGAAACTGAGTCCCAGAGTGAAGAAGTGACTTCCATGGAGAACAGTGAACACCCCATTCCTGACCTGGGTATTCGGCCCACTTCCTCACATTTTGCTTTCATTTTATCTATTAGGGGACCATCTTTCTTTCTTGGCCTCATGGGGCCCTGTCCACAGATTACTGCCGTCTTCAATGACACCCACCTGGTCTCTCTCCTGCCCCCTCCACAGAACCTTTCTCACGTCCTTCTTTGCACCCCAACCAGCTGATCCTGCCCCACCAGGACTGCCTCAGATACCTTCACGGGCCTCTGTCCTTACCTTCGCTGTACCTACCCTCACCCCTACCCCTGACATCTCTGGGTCCCATCAACTCTCCCTTCTAGTTCCACCCACCCCCTCCCATCCTGGTCATCTCATACAGAGTTTTCCCCACTCCCCAAGTCCCCAAGTCCCCTCACTTTGCCAGCATCAGCAGCCTGGACAAGTACCTCATCAAAGTCTGCGATGATTTCATTGAGCAGCCGCAGGCACTCGACACCCTCATTGTTTGCCTCCAGCTCCACGTAGAACTCAGAGAAGTTGGCAATGGAAGCAAACATGACGGCCACACACTCACAGGACTGATAGTAGAGCTCATCATTCCGGCGCTCCCGGGCCAGGAAGTGGGCAGCCACGTCCTTGGGCAGAATGTTATGCAGCAGCCTCCGGTTGTATGCCTGGAGCTCCTCCATCTCCTCCTTCTCCCCTGTTGCCTGTGGACACCACACCCAACACCCATTGCCCAACAATCACAAGGGGGTGGTGCCAGCAGCCCATGCCTAGAGCTGGGCATCAGAGGGAATCACACGGAAGAGGAAAGGAAAGGAGAGATGAAGCCTGAAGAACAGGTGAGGGGGGCAGGGGCAGGGTGAGGCCGGGCAGAAGGGGTGGGCAGGGAGGAGGCATGGAGCCAGGGTGGGCTTGGGGTAGCCTGAGCCTTAGCCAGCTAACAAGACACACTTCTGCCTTGGCAGAGGCTCTGCAGGATCCTTCTCCTCCCCAAGAGGCCCACACAGTCACCTGCAGTTTCCAGAGGAAGTCCAGGCGAGCAGTGGATTCCACCTGCTGGGCATGCAGATACAGCGCCAGCGCAAACACCAGCAGTATCACAGGGGTCATATATTTGAGTGCCACCCTCCCTGCAGCTGGGCTGAGGGTAAGCAGAGGCAAGCTCAGCATCTGAAGGAGGCACCTGGCAGCCCTACCCATCACTGCCCAGAACGCTCACTCACCAGTCCAGCCCGTCAAAGGTCCCATTGGATGAAGCCCTGGCAGGAAGATACAAGAGACAAAGTCATCAGTTCCTCCTGGGTGCAGGGTGGGGACATGGGAAGGGAGGTGGACACTGCATTTACTGAGCACATGCCATAAATCAGGCACTGGGCTAGGGGTTTTGCCTATATTAACTCATTAAAAGTAGAGGTTAAGAGCAGGTTTCACTTCTGGCTCCTCTACTTACCAGCTATGTGACCTGGAATTGCTTAACTCTCTAAACTGCAGTTTCCTCATCAATAAAAGAGGGATCAGATCTAAATAATGCATGCAAAAGGCTTAGCACAGTGCTGGCATGCAGTAAGCCTTCAACAAGTGTCAGTGACTACAAATCTCTGCAACAACTTTGTGACCCACGTGGCAGTGCCATTTGAGGAAATTGAGGCTCTGAGAAGTTAACTCACCTGTCAAAGGTCACACAGCCAACGAGCAGCAGAGCAGACATCAGAGGCTTTTTCTACCTGACCAAGCTATGGCCACATATCACAAGGGGTGGGTTTTTGCAGAGGAAAAGCCAGGGTGGTGTCCCAGGCAAAGCCCTCAAGCAGGAGTCAGAGGTTTGGTTTCTAGCCAGGGCTCTGCCACCAAGCAGCTGGGTGACACACAGTTGGTTAAGAAAGGGGATATGAAGGCACCACACAGATGCTAGAGGGAATTTTCTCCTCACTGTCTAGCCTGAAGGCCTGGGGATCTCCCAGGACTGGGGGCTTCTTGGAGAGACTGTTTGAGGTCATGTGCTGGGGGCTCCTCCACTGCCTCCTTCCCCCACAAGTGAGAACTGAGCATCGGCATTACAGGGGCACAAGGGGCCTGGGCACCAGGTGGGGATGACAGGAGGCTCCTGGGGCATTAACAGGACTGAGGATAAACTCACAAGCCATGGACACCAAGCAGCAGGTCATAGTTGTCAAAGATGGTAGCTGGGGGACCCAACAGCAGCAGTGCCAAGTAGACGAGCCCCAGAGCAAAGACCATGGCCAGCTTCCCAATGCTGCTGATATGCAGGAAGACAGAGCTGGCCAAGAGACTCAACAGCATGTTCCCGATGAAGTACTGAGGGTGACAGCAGAGCAGTGTTGGGTGGAGGCAGCAGCCACAGCGCCCCTGTGCAGGCAGAGCCTGCACTCCCCTGCCTGGCCTCAGCTCCCCTCCACAGCCTCAAACCCAAACCTCCTTCACCCTCCACAGCCAGCCCCCCACACACCAGGGCCCCTGCTGCTCCTAGAGTCAGGTATCCAGTGAGATCCTGGGTCCCCAGTGCCCATCACGAGGCCTGGCACAGAGGAGCCAATATACTGATCGGGAGCCCCCGTCCCCGCCTGTGCCCTGCTCGGACACCTCGGGGAAGCTGCAGGTGGGTGCGGTGCCCTCACACAGGGGAGCATCCAGGCCCAGAGAGTAATTGAGCTGCTGTAGGTGGCAGGCAGTGATGATGGCCGGCGTTAAATTCAGCATCCGGGCTGCGCAGGTCCGTAAGGGGGTGTGGTTACAGGTGAACTGCCAAAGTTGGGGGAGGTATGTCAGGGTGACCAAGGAGAGGAGGGGTCACAAGAGCCATGCCCAGGTGCCTTAAACTCCAGAGGCTAAAGTTCTCACTGAGGAAGGACAGCAGGTGGGGTGGGTGAGGAGGAGGGGGACCTGGAAGTAACCTAACCCCCTCCTTTAGGATAACGAGCTCCCTGAGGGCAGAAAACGTGTCTTATTCCTCTCACCCCCAGCATCCAGAGCAGTGCTTAGCACAGAGGAGGGACAGAAGGATTTCCACTGGACTTTTACCATGTTGGCAATGGCAGAGGTGAACACAAGCAGGACCGAAAAGATGCCAACGGCAGTGCTGTGTGCCCGGGAGCGGACGATGCTGCGGGACAGGCGTTGCAGGGCCACGGGGAAGAGCTGTGGGGAGGCAGAGGCTGAGGACTGGAGGCTTTCAAGCCAACCAGGGATGGGGTCCAATGGGGGAGGCACAGTCTTCTTCTCCCTCTCCCAATGTGGTCCCCACCCTGGCCCAGCCTGTGCTCTCCACCAGCCTTGGAGGGACCCCAACATACAGAGCCACAGGAGTATATGGCACAGGTCAGCACTGTGATCAGCAACAGCAGAAAGATGCTGGCATAGATCCCAAGCAGGAGGGTTGAGCTGGGGCAAAAGAGGGCCAGGAAAAACGTCATTCTGGAAGATCTGGGTGTCCTTGTCCCACTCCCCAGAGGGGCAGGGGGCAGGCTTCAGGGCTGTGGACTTGCCTGGGTAGTTAGGAAGGGGTGGAGGGAAGAGAGCTGAGCAAGGGACAGGGCTCTCACCGTGGGAAGACTAGGAGCTGGATGAAACAGATGAAGCAGAAGACCAGCAGGGCACAGGCCACATAGGCTCCGAAGCGGGGGTCCACCTTCCTCGAGTACTGAGGGAGAGGAGGCTGGGCTGGGCAGTAGGCTCTGCCCTGCGGGAGGCGAGCAGCACCAGGTGCCTCAAGTGGGGCTGGCCCAGTTGATAGGAATCCCCACCCTGCCCTGTGGTCACGTCCTCACTCCCCAGAAAACCCCTCAGACTTTCCCGCCAGGCCCTCCCCTCCTCCCCCAGGCCTTGTCCTTCTGCTTTTGCATCCCCCAAACCTTCTTTTCAAGATCCTCTCTCTGGAAGGTGAGCAAAAACCGGCGCACATGGTCCTTGCGCAGTTGGTCAATACTACGAGCATCAATGGCACGGCCCAGGAACTCATCTACCTCATCCTCAGGGTTCAGGGCATCTTGGGCGCCCCGGCTGAGGGCAGGGGGCATGACTTCACCAGGTGCATGAGCATTGCCATGTGAGAAGCAATGAGAAGGGAGGGCGTGGGCAGCACCCAAAGGAGGGAATGTGAGCTGAGTGTGGGGCACCTGCTCCCCATGACACATCCAGGATCCAGGAAGGAGGGGATTTTGGCAACCCACAGCCCAGTCCCAGGGTATAAGGGCCTTCTCCCTCCTCAGTGATCTGACTTACTTGTCTTTGCTGGAATCATCAATGCCCTGGAGGAGGGGACAGAGTGTGCAAGTGAGGTGATGGGCAGACCCCCTCCTTCACCTCTACAAGCCCTTCCCCATCCCAACACTGTGCTGAGGGCTCCTCCCCATAGCTTGGGACCCCTGGCATGGAATCATCCCTCCTACCCCAATATGGAAAGCCAAACATGGAGATGGCGGCCACACACAGAAGGCAGAAGAGGGAAGGAGACAAAGAGTGCTGGGACGTGAGGCCCAGGTCCTGGTGCTGCAGGCCCTCACCATCTGGCGGAAAGCCTTAGAGTCCTTGGTCCGGGAGAAGGCGCGGTCGGGTACCCAGCGTGGCATCAGTCCCTCCATGGAGTTGGCCCGTGTCCGCTGCAGCTTAGCCAGCATGGCCTTCTCCTCTTTCTGTGAGGGCAGCACAGGCTCAGAAGAGCGGCCCAGACCTCTGCCCACTCCCCCCACTTGCTCTTCTCCCTGCCTGGCCCTGCCGCACCCCACCCCAGCCTGACCCGTTTCTGGCTGGCTCCCAGGATGAGGAAGGTCTCAGTGTGCTGCTCCTTGAGGTATGCATTGCGCTCGCCGCCGCGACCTGGCTCCACCTCGTAGTCCCCGTTCAGGTACTGCAGTGTGGCCCGAGTGATGTGGATGCGGCTGTGAGCGGACAGGGAGGTGAGACCTGGGCTCTCCCTCCTTACTCCCATCCCTCACCACCTGGGCCCCACACTCACCCGGCCCGGCCCCCCGCCTCCATATGGTTGGCCAGAGTCACATCATTGGACCACACATCAAACTGCCATTTCCGCAGACCAAGGACGCCGCAGTGCACACGCCCACTGTGGATGCCCACACGCATGTTCACATTCACACCCGTCACTTCACGAACCAGCCTGGGAGGAGGCAGTTCCGGCTCAGCTCCTGGAACAGTCTTCCCCACCCCCAGCTCAGAGCCCAGGCCCTCAACCCCCTTGGAGCCAAGAGGGCAAGGACGGACCCAGACACAGGGCACGGGAGCACAGCCTTGGCTGGACGTGGGCAGAAGCTTGCATGGGGCTCAAGGAACAATTTGAGAACTGTGTTTGCCAGCAAGGGCCCAGGAGCATCTTGTGGAACTGAACCAGGAAAGGAGGAATCACTGTTCTCCCCTCAGCCCTGCTGAGCTGGTGTTCTCCCCAGCCCCAGTGCCCCCCGCCACGGCTTTCCCTACCCCACCCCAGCTGGCTGGAGTCAAGAAAAATCCATTAACCTCCCTGGCAATGGATCTCAAAGACAGACAAACAGCTAAGACTGAGGAAAAGTCCCAAGGACATATGAGAGGGGAGGAGCAGGCCAGGGCACCCTCACTTCCGGGAAGCCTGCGAGGGGCACTGCTTACGAGATGGCCTCAATCATGTCCACCCCCATCTCCACACAGCAGTGGGCATGGTCTGCCCGGGCCTCTGGCAGCCCTGACACACAGTAGTAGCAGTCCCCTAAGATCTTGATCCTCAGGCAGTGATTTTCCTAAAGGAAAAGGGGTAGTGGGAGAGTTACCTTTACTTTCTTCTTGCCCACCTGACCTACCTAGCGCACCACCCTTGCTGCAGACCCCTTCTGCCCCATCCCCGCAGGCTGCGCCACGAGGCTGTGCTCTCACTAAGGCCGGCCCTTCCCAAGCCCCAGCACCCTCACCGCAGCCAGCTTGTCAAACCGGGCAAAGAGCTCGTTCAGGGTCATGACCAGCTCCTGAGCAGTGCACTGCGATGCCAGGCTGGTGAAGCCTTCAATGTCCGCAAACAGGATGCTGTGAAAGATGGCAGAAGATGCAAGGGCCCTCAGAAAGTCCCAGATCCCCCGACCTGTCCTGCAAGCCTCCCACTCCCAGCCTACCTGACATTGTCGTGCTTCTGGATGTAGATTTTGTGGAACATCATGTCTTCTTTCTTTGTGTTGATGTCTTCTTTCATCTCCATGGCAACATGCTGGGGCAATACCGACAGCAGCAGCCGCTCCTAGGCCAGTAGTTCCAACAGGGTGCCACTATTTTCTTGATCTCAAACTTTCATACCTTCTGGTCCCTCCACATCCCCAGAGCCCACCCAGACCTGTCTGGAGACCTGTGCTTCCCTGATGGACCTCCCCAGTCAGAACCACAGCAACATATATCCCAGCCCTCTCTGACCACTTCCCATTCAGCTCCTCAGATGTGCTCCCATCCACTCCCTCCCACCTGGAACAGGGCAGGAAGCCCAGTGTCCTAGGGCCTATGTTATGCACCATTGCGGGGCCTTGCCCACTTATTCCACAAAGTTGTACAAAGCAGCAGATCTAGTCTGCAAGTTACTTCGGGGTGAGGTCAGGGAGGCCCTAGCCACAGAGGACAGCCCCACCTGCTGCCGATTCTCGTGCTGCAGGTGCAGCCGGGCCTGGATGTAACCACGGGTCTCCTGAAAGGCCTGGCGCTGAGACACCTCAGCTGGGTAGTGTGTGCAGATACCGATGACGTTGGTGCAGAGGAACAGCAGCATGTTGGCACCGAGCTGCAGGAGGGTGGCAGAGGCAGATGGGTCACCACACACACGCACGCACGCACACACCTCCCACAGGCACACCTTGCCAGGCTCTCTATAGTTGCACTCCTTTGGGAAGGAAACTGGGATCCTGTGCCCTGTCTGTCCCTCCCCACTGCAATACGTCTCCCCTGTTCTCCACAGGACGCCAGCCCCCTGCCTAGAGCACTCCATAGCTAGAAGTGAGATTTTTTTTGCAGCTCCTGGGAACAGAAGCACTAACCAGGGCCAGGTAGGTCATGGAGCTGAGCCCAGCACACTATGATTCCTGCCCCACCATTATCCAAACAAAAGGCAAAAGGCAAATCCTTCTGCCCGTGGCTCTCCTTCCAGGTCAATCCCTGGAAACCTGAGCACTACATCATCCTGGGAGTGCCCAGGACAAGTCACCTCATCTCTCTAGATCTGTTTCTTCATCTAGAACCTAGAAAGGGAAAAGAAGCAGCTCTCTGAAGGTCCTCCATACCCTCACATAATTTCATATAATAATAATAACAGTAATAATTATTATTGTTATTATTATTACTGGAGCTAATCTGTTGGCTATCTACAAAGTGCCTGGATTCTTTAGGAGCCTTCTATATGGTAACTAATGGGTTTCTTACAACTCTATGAAGTAGGTGACACTATCTCATTTTAAAGGATAGGGGACTAGGGCACATAGAAGCTAAGTGACTTGCCCAAGATCACACAGCTGGCAGTGGCTGGTGTGGGACTTGAGTGCAGGACAGTCAGACTGCGAAGCCTGTGACCTGCCTTATTGCATAATGCATCCAGGTTTCCAATATTCCCGTTCACGCCACTCACGCAGGCTCGTGAGGCTCAGCCTCAGAGCCCAGGCATGGGAGTCATCCATTCTACTGACTCGAAGAACCCTTCCTAACTGGGATGGGCTGCTGCCATGACCAGCCACTCCCAACACTTGGCCCAGCCAGGCCCTATACCCTTGGACTCTGATCCCAAGATGTTCAGCCACCAATCAGCAGCAGCAGAACTGACTAAAGAGCAAGTCTACATTGAAGCCGGCCTCAATGTTTCTGGAAACGCAGGGGTTAACCTGGCACTTGTGGCTCCACCCGTGTTGGCTCTGGTAAGGCTCTGGTTTGGGGAGAAGGGAGGGAAAGAGCACCAACCGGAAACCAGGAATTCTGGGCTCTGCTCAGAAGCAGAACTGTAGTCCTGCAAACTTGGGTGGGTCACTTAATCTCCAGGACCTCAGTATTATTTTTCTAAGGTAAAATGGAGGTGTGGGTCCAGAACCCCACAAGCCATGTCTAGCTCTGACCCTCGAGGATTGACCTCCCAGTTTCCTTCTCAGGTCAGCAGCTGGGGTGAAGAAAGGGGCACACTGTCTCCCTCAGGGGGTTCTAAGAATAGCCCCCAGTGGGGGAGAAGGAAGGGGGGCAAACCAGGCAACTTCCCTTCCTGGCCCCAGGAGCCCAAGAGGAAAATGTGAGTCATGGTAGAGAGAAGGAGAAGGGGGACAAGAGGGACAAGAGACTGAAATAGATCTGTTCACAGACCCTTATCCAACTGAGAGAAAAAACAGATGCCAGGGCACCGGAGGGGACTCCAGGCTGGACCAGGGTCCCTGGATGAAACTGCTCAGTGGGTCTGAATGCGTGGTCAGAGGAGAATGAAAGCTCTTTCCAGTGAGTGTGAGCAGGGCTGGATCTGGGAAGGAGCTACCCAAAGAGCTCAGAAAGGAGGCCACAGCCCCACCCCATCCAGCAACCCATAGGCAAACTTGGTGCAAGAAGTCATTCTCACCTCAGAGTAGGGGTATGGGCAACCCTGGCCCCAAGGACTGGCACAGGGGCAGGGGCAACTTTCTCCATCCAACCCCCAAGAATGTGCCTGCCAAGACCCACTGCATGAGGATTCAGCCAGGTGCCCGTCAGGAGGTAGGAGGTTGGCACGGCCCTGACCTCCATGAGGTTGTGCCTCCCTAATCAAGTCCTGGGCCTGGCTCTGGGCACCATGCCAGCTGAAGGCAGGGAAGGGACACCCACCCACCTCTGGCCAATCAGAGAGGATGAGGAGTAGGGAGGCACTACCTCCCTGAAGCCCAGTGTGATGCCTACCCTGGCAATAAGTGGGGGCCCAGCAGAGGCAGAAGGACCCTGGCCCTTTAAGAGGTCTGACAGTGCCTTGTGGGCACATGCTCCACAAACAAATGGCTATAAAGTTACTTTTAAAAAGGTACATTCTGTTCCAGAGCATGGGCTGTCGGGCTGGGCGGGAAAGGGCATCATGCCAGGGCACCCAGCTTCTCACCCTGGGAGCCCCAGGCAACTTCCTTTTTGTGGGTGGGGCTGGGGGGCTACAGGCCACAAGCTCTGGGCAAGGCAGAGGCTGATGCCCGCAAACCTTGAACAAGACAGAAAACAGCACCCTCTAAATCAGGGTGCCAGTGGCAGGATCATGAGGTGTGTTGGCTGAGGGACTGTGCCTACAAGCAGCCCCTGGAGGATCAGCTGGACAAGACACTGTAGTCTCTACTCCCTGGTCAGGGGGCTGAGCCAGAAGACCGACCACATCCCTGTGAAAGGGACTTCCTGGAAGACCTTTCCCTGGGTACCATCCCCTGCGGCACTCCCCACACCTCCCCGGCCCCAGGTGGGAAGCTGCCCTGTCAGGTTCTGCTCCAAGCTGAGAGAGGGTGGGGCCCTAACAGTAACATCATGAGGTAGATACTATTTTTAACCCAGTTTTACAGACTGGGAAACTAAGGCTGGGAGAGGCAAGTTTGGTTGTCTGAGATCTCAGAGGGAAGAAGGCAGGCCATTGGACAACAAGGTCCGCCTGCAGCCAAAGCCTTCATTTCTCACCCATCACGGTGCTGGCAAGCCCTACCTCACACAGCACTCAGATCCTGAAGGCAGTAGCCAGCACGGGCAGAGAACTTCAAGGCAAGGCTGCCAGACACTGATGCTCAGCAGGGGAAGGTGGGGATGAGATCAGGCCCTAATACCCTCTCTTCTACAGTCCAACCCCATTCACAAGTGGCCTTGGTCCAGCAGAGACAACTCTGCCCTTGCTAACGCCACCCAAAACCTGCTTGATCCCTCCAAATCACCACTTAGAGCTGCTTCTCAGGGATGGTACAGAGCCTGAGTTGCAGGGGTCAATTTGAGGCCAAAGATGCCAAGTCCTGGACTAGCCCACACTGCCCTCTCAGCCCTGCCCCCACCCCAGGCTAAAGATCACGTTCCCACCTCTAGCCCTACATTATGTCTCTTCAGGCTACACTATCTCAAAGGCCTCAGGACAAAGCTACAGACTGTGGCCCACGGTAACAGAGGACAGGCTTGGGTCCGGGAGCCCTTTCTGCCCTCAGCGGTGCTCTCTGCCCCAGATCCCAAATGGAGGCTGGCCCCCTGAAACTTGACCTCCCATCACTTGCCCCTCCTCCCAAATAGAGCCAGACATTCCTGCAGGGCTATCCACCCATGGCTCAGCCTCCCTCAGGACCAGACTTCTCATTCCCTGCCTGGTGCCCTCAATTCCTCCCTGACCACCCACCTGCTTCCAGAGGAAGGCATCCCACCGGTTGAGTTGCCAGGCCAAGATCAGGTGCAAGGTGGAGAGGCCCAGTCCACTGAAGACAGCTGCCCGCATGCGGATGGGTAGGAGCGTGTAGGTGATGTAGACAAAGAACACAGGGCACCAGAGGCCAACAGAGGGGCTGTGGGGGTTGGCTGCCAGGGCACCCCCGACCTGCACAGCCGCAAGGATGCCCAGGACCACGTAGCTCACCACCCACATGGAGTCCTGGCGGAAGCTGTGTCGGTTACAAACCACCATGAGTGCCACGAAGAGGGCCGCAGCACAAGCCAGCAGGGCCACATAGGCCGGCTGAGGGACCGCAGGCGCAGCATGAAAGGCCAGAAGCACTGCCATTAGCAGCAGGAGCACCGCCATCAGCAGCGTCAGGCTGCTCTGGTTCATTTGGAAGAAGTACCGCTGGTACAGGCGCTCCAGCTTGGCTGAGCGGAACTGCTTGGATTGGAATACCCGCGCCAGACGGCGCCAACAGGATCGCCTGCTCCTGGGTGCCACATCAGGTGCCACCTCAGCTGCCCCGACAGCCACCGTTGCCTCAGTGTCCTCAAAGCCCAGAGCCACTGCCCGCAGCCCCAGCTCCGTGCTCTTGCCCAGGCCACCCCTCCGCGTGAAGGCCTCGTTCTGCCACAGGCACTGAGGGGGAGCTGCAGGGGTGGGGCTAGGTGGCTGTGCATCCCGGAGGCAGCTCATGTAGCGGGGTGTGCAGAAGCCACTGGTCCGAGGGCCATGGCGCAGACGCTTCTGCCCATTGCGTTCACCCCAGGCTGTTTTCCGTTCATCCACTTTGGGGACCAGGAGGCCACCAAACCATGACATGCTGCTAGGAAGAAAGGAACGAGCTGGAATTAATACCACCATCACCACCTGCCAACACCAGTTATGTTAGTATTAACAGAGCACATCCCATCGCCAAGCTAAGCTCTTCGGCCACTTCATTCTCATATACTTATGGAGAAAGACAACAGTATCCCCACTCTACAGGTGAGGAAACTGCAACAGGGGTGGGTGAAGTAATTTGCTCAAGATCAAGTAGCCACACAGGTGGAGGATCAAGATTCTAATCCAATCTGTCTACTCCAAAGCAGTCCACTTACACATCCCCCTCTTCTCTAAAAAGCACTGATTTCTTGGTGGTGACAAACTCAGATGCCTTGTCAATGAGCAGAAGCACCCAGGGTTCAGGAGATCTGGGAGGGAGGGACTACAGAGTGCACAGCCTGATCCTGGGGACAAGCTCCACCCACACCACGGACAGGAAGACTTGTCCCTGGCTTCCCAGTGGAGCCTCATCTTAGGATTTTTCAACAGAAGCTGAAAAAAAACCTAGATTTTAATGTGACATCTCCTGACTTCTTAATGTTAGCAAGTAATTCACTTTTTTCAACACCACAAGCCAAAGAAACCACATCTATGGAATGAATTCAGCCTGTAAACTGCCAGTCGGGGACCTCTGTACAAAAGAGAATCTCCACACCCTTCAGCACCACACTCACATGCACACTACGCATAAGCTAAATTCAACTTCTCCCTCAGGTCACAGTTTAATATGATTTCCTCAGGGAAGAGGTCCGGCTCCCCCATCTGGACTCAGTCTGGTCCCCTGCTTAGCCCCTGTACGGTCCCTCCAGAGTACTTACCACAGTTACTAAACTGTCTCTTGTTCAATTGTGTCACCACCCCTCTGACTATAAACTTTGTGAGGCAGAGATTCCGATTTGCTCAGTGCCTTATCCCCAGCACCCAGCTCACAGCAAGGACTCAATAAATGTATGTCAACAAGATAGAAAGCAATCAAGCTCAAGGGTACTGGCATAGAGCAGCTAAGGTGAAATAAAAAGCTGATCATGACAGTCCTCTCTGGTTCTTGCTCTTTCTCACTGCAGCCCCGTCCTATGAGCCTCTTTGCTGCTCGCCAACACTGTGCGCAGGCCACCCTGGGACCTTGGTGCCCGCTGTTCCTTCTGCCTGGAACAGCAGCACCTCTGGGTCACGACTCAAATGTCCCCTTATCACTGAGTCCTTCCCTGACCATTCTGAAAATAGCAACCCCCTTTCCTGGCGTTCCCTATCACTCTTACCAGCTTTATGCCTTATTTTTCTCCACAGCTCTTATCAGCAACTGCCATTCTATATCTTTTTCTTGTTCGTTCATTGTGTCTCTCCTGACTGGAATGTCAACCTCATGAGGGCAAGGACTTGGGCCTGTTTTGTTCACTGCTGTATCTGCAGAGTCTAAATAAATGTTCGTTGAGTGGATGATGAGTGGATGGATGGAAAAAATACACCTGTGCACTTTGTGCTTTAAACTTTTCAAGGTCCTTTCACATGTCTAATTCCATTGGATCTTCACCAAAAACCTGTAAAGCTGCTTGTGTGGCCACCTGGGGCACAGGATAGATTTGACAGGAGAAAACAAAAAAAGAAACTCAGGTCCATGGCAGTTTTATATGGCTGGCCTCAGTTACAGAGATCATGCCTAACCACATCAGCCCTAGATCTCAGGTCTCCTAGAAGGAAGTGTCTAGAAGTAGGGTGGGAGGACTCCATGACAACACCTGCAATGTATCTGTGAGCTGAGCCAGCGCTGAAGAAAGTGAGGATGAGGATGAGAGCTCTCTCATCCATGGATGCCTGTGTGTCCGCCAGGGCCACACTCCTTCTTGCCCACAGGGAGCGGACTTAAACCTTCAGACAGCAGTGCTGACATCTGTACTCACTAGGGGACACGGGGAGAGTATTCAGCACTTGCCCCAGGTGGCCACAAGACCAGACACTCAACCAAGACAAGTGGCGCTCCAAGCTGACACCCAGGGGTGCACAAAGCAGAAGGCAGGCTGGGGTCCTCTGCACACAGGAAGCCCCCATCCCTGGTTCAGTCTCAGCCCAGTACTCTGGGCATTCCTTCTCCTCTATCCCACAGGGCAGCATGCCCTTCAACTCTTTAACATCACCAACAGCCCCATCTAGAGGGACAGATCAGAAATCCAAGGCTTTTGGTCAGGCTGACATTTGCAAGAGGTCACCAAAGAAAGCCTGGCTTTTCAAAATACTTCATTAGAAGCATGATCTTTGGAGCAAAACCCAGGTTTCAAACCTTAGTGTGATGATTCACTAGCTATATAGCTTTGGAGAAGTTACTTAACCTCCATGTGTCAGTTTCTTCATCTGTAAAATGGGAATGGTTAAGCTGTGAGGAAAGAATCTAACAGTACCTGTCACTTCATACACACTCGGTAATTATGAGTTCTTCTCCCCACCCTACACCATTTTGAATCCAGGACTCTGCCAGTGTCCGAGAGATGGAGAGACAGGAAAGTCATGAACAAGAATACACATCTCCCCAGCCACACGCCTGGTGCAATCAGTCCCTGTGTCCCCGGCGGTCAGTCCCCACAGCTGCTGGAGACAAAGCCCAGAGTGAGCAGGTTCCCCCCTCAATGACATTTTGCTGCAGCCTCCTCCCACTCACCAGTCCCCTGCCCTGTGCTTACTCCCTCCCCACCCCCAACACTGGCTCAGACCTCTGTTCCCAAAGGACCTTTTTCTGGCCACGTTCCCAGCCCCTGGAAGCATACCCAAGCATCTGGCTCATATGCACAGAGGAAGGGGCAGCCACTGTCCAGGGGAACATATAACAACCCCAAGAACACTCTGACCCCACCAGGGGATAGCTTCAGAGCTCTGTAATTGTCCAACTGCAACCATCCCACCTGGGACTTCACTCCAGGCACTGCCTGCACTCCTGGCACCCCATACCAGACTGGAATGGCAGGGAACAGGGGAGGGCACTGTTCAAAACCACAAAATTTCCCTATATGGTCCCCAAACCTCCTCATCCAGGAACCCAGCACTATGAGCCACAGACCACCTCCTCTTCCCCAGAGACAGGGCTCCTGAGCCTGTGCTGCACACACCCTCCTCCTCCAGGGTCATGGTCTCCTCCATCTGCTACTCCAGGAACCACCAGCTCCCACAGCCGGAAGCATGTCCATTCAGCCTGGAAGAAGGAGGCCCTGTGCTCCTGACCTCAAGTCCCTCCCAAAGCCTGACCCTCCAGCCTGAGACCCAGAGTCTGAAGCCAGCCAAGGCTGGGCCCCAAGGATGGCTCTGCCTGCTCCCTCGCCCAAACCCTCTTCCGGGCTACCTCCATCCATCCTGTCTCCAGCGCCCCTCTGCCCTTGCCCTCCTTGGCAAAAGGAGGCTCCCAGGGATATAAAACAACTTCAGAAAGTTCAAGGCAGAAGGCACTGCCCAGGCAGAGCCCTTCGGTGCCAGCACCGCCCACCATGCTGGGACGTGGGCCTCAATCCCAGATGTAGAGGAGCGCCCTCAGGCCACGACTGTGGAAGTCCATCGGGGCCTCCCTGCTTCCCCAGGCCTTGGTGTCCCCTCCAGGTAGAGGGCTCCCACCTCCACCTCCAACCCCCACAAACCCCACTGGGATCCTGTACCTCACAGGAGCACTCTGGCGATGGGGAAGGCATGGGGAGAGTCCCCACTGACTGATTGATTCCACCTCGGGTTTTCGTCAGGCCCCACAGCCTGTTCTGCATAAAGTCTGTGCCCCCAGCCCACCCGCGAGGGCCTGAACACCACCCCTTTCATTCCCGCGGTTTGAGGTACGGGGTCGGTTGGGGCACTCTGCCAAGGGCATACCTCCCTCTGCCCAGGCTGCCTCCCCTTCCCCAGCCACGCTCACACCCACCTCCAAAGCGGAGGCTCACCCCACAGCCCCTGCACAGACCTCAGGGCAGCCCCTCCCCCAGCACATGCCTTTCGCCTGATCGAAGGAGCCAGGAACTCGCCCGGGCGGAGGGTGAGGCAGGGAGGCATGCGGCACCGGGTGAGGGCGGGGAGCTCGGAGTCCTTGCTTCCCCATCTCCCTGACCTCCAGCCCCCACGGCCGCAGGCTCCCCCCAGGCCGTACGGGGCCCACCCATCCCAGGCTCCTGCGCCCCCACCGAAAAACTCTCGGGGGCCGCGCGGGAGTCTTCAAGCCGCACCGAGCCCGAGCGCCCCGCGCCGCCGCTTCCCCGACACCGGCCCGCGCGGTCTCACCTGCCGGCCGGGGTCGGCGCCTCCCCCGGGCCCCCGCCCCGCCGCCCCCGCGGGCTCCGGCCGGCCGGCCGGCCGCGCCACGGTCCTGCTGGGTGCCCGCGCGTCCCGGCCGTCCCTCCCGCCGCCCGCGGCCCGTCCGGCCCTCGCCCCCTCCCTTGTTGTCCAGCGCAGCCGCCCTCTACCCCGGATCCAGAAGTCCCCTCCCCGCCGGCTCCCGGACTCCCCGCCTTAAAGGCACAAGCTCCTTTTGTCTGGGCACCTCCTCCCCCTCCGCCTCCGGAGAAGCCGGGCCGGGCGGCCCACTCCCCTTCCCGGGAACGGGGCACGGGTCGGGGAGACCAAAGAATGGGACCCTCCCTCCGCGCACCCCCCCTCCCCCCAGGCCGCTCCCTCCTTCAGTCCTGGGCAAACAAGCGGCTACTGTTCTGGGATCAAGACCCCGGCGGGAGGGGGGCGTCCTGCCGGCGGCCTCTGGCCCCCACCCGCGTGCCGCATCCTGCTGCAGTCTCCGCCCGCCCTCCCCGGGGGTCCCCCACCGCACCCGCACACGCGCTCGCTCTCACAGCGACCGCCCCCCTCCCCGCACAAGGAGGGTCAGCTTCCTTCCGGTCAGGGACCCCAGGGGCTGATCCGGCGCCCAGCGCCCACTCCTCACTGCCCCCTTCCTCCCGCCCCCAGCCCCAGCCCCCACCCTGCCATTCCCTCCAGGCCTGCCCCGGCCCTGCTCCTCCCGCGGGAACTCAGTTTAATAATTAATTAAGATTTCATTCCACAAGGCGCCAGGTGTGTGTGGCCTGCTTCCCCGCACCACTTTTCTCCTCCCCCCCAACCCTCTGGGGCATCCAGAGCCCAGAAAGGAGACTAGGAAGGGGCCGTCTCCTGCTGCCCACTGGCCCCACTCCATCTGGAGAGCTCATCGCCTGCACCTGCCGCGGAGCAGAGACTCCCCGTCCACCTTCTACGCAAAGAGTTGTGCCTCTCTGTTGGAGGTTTGGTGCATTGCTAGGTGCACATACTGAGAAATTGTTTGGGACTTTCATTTATTTCACACCTTTTCTCCCACAAAGCAGAGACCCAAGTTACCTGGGTGATAGGAAAATCAAGAGACAGCTGCTTAACCCTTTGACGGTTAGAAAGATGGGGGAGAGGGTGAATTCCCAGGATGCCGGTGAGTCTGACTTTCTAGAGTGCCATGCCTGAAGAGCTGGGAAGAGGACAGCTTGCCTGGCTTCCCTTAGAGGTCTGGCTGTCTGGCTTGGCGGTTCCTTCTGGCAGACCTGAAGCTCCTTCTTCCTTCGGCAGCCCCTTCCCCACCCAGGGTCCCACAACCTAGATATCTGAGGCTGCCCCTTCCTCAGACCCTGCCCTCCCTGCATTCCTGTCCTTCAAAACCCATGTCTTGTCCAAGCCAAATCCCCACTGGATTCCTAAACCCAGGACAGAGCTTGGAGGCAAGGAAGAGGGGAAGAATTAGGAGAATCCTTTCCACTACTTATCAGCCATATGTAATTGCAAACTATATGCTTTGGGTAAATCACCACTTACTTTCCTGGAGCCTCATCTATATAATGGGGATAAAACTATCTGCCTTGTCTTTCTTAAAGGATGTGAAGATTAGATAGAACAATGTTGGTTAAAATGTTTGAAAATGGGAAATGAAACTGAGAAAGGGATAGTTTATTCTGCCATATATGATTCTCGGTTGTTCAGGCCTAGCCTGTAATTTGACCTTTGGGGCCCCTTTGCCTGACTTTTCCCTTCAAGTAGCCAGTGTTCTTTGCCACTATCAAAATTTCCTCTCCAGCCTGAATCTAGTGTCTACCATATACCTCTTAGAATAATATGTTTATAGGCCATATAAGGAAAACACAAAAAACAATTGAGAAAAAGAAATGTGTGCATTATGAAACATTATATTTTGGAATGAAAGGTTTTGCCTTTGGAGTGAAAAAAAAAGTGGATACCAACCAAATAAGCTGGAGAAATACGCTAGGGGTCTGGCTCTGTGCACTTTAAATCGCACTGGCCTCCTCTGCCTTTGTGTATGGCTGGTGTGTCAGTCTGGCCTCCTAAATTCCATTTCCTGTTCCTGAAGGTCAGGGCTACCATCAGCACCTTACACAGAAGATCTATTTTTAGCACTATAAACTGGCCTTAAAAATTAGTCCAGTTTCTTATTTCCTAGATAGGAAATATGAACTAGTACACAGAAAATACTCAATTATTGAGCTTTAAATGTATAGGCTATTAGAGTAGGAAATGGTCTTAAAATGATCTAATTTGGCTGCTATGTTTTTAGTAATTACAATAGCAAGCACTTATGTAGCACTTACTAGGTTGCGAGTCCTTGGCATAAAATAATTCATGACAACTACACGATGCTATTATTATCTTCATCTTGGAAAGGGAATAGATGAGACACAGAGAGGTTCAATAATGTGGTCTCTGACAGTAGTTCTCAGACTTACTCTGAGCCCCCATAAGAAGTACTCTTAGCAGAATATGATGAAATATTAACAAATTAAAGTAATTAAACACATCAGTTTGTGCTATGTCAGGTCTAATAGAGTCTAGAATCATAGGCACCAAGTCTTAGAAAAAGATTTTGGAAAAACCTTAGAATTTAGAAAATGCTACCTATTCGATTTTTTTTCTTTGAACTGGGACAAGATGGCCATTACTCAGTTTTCATGGCAGAACACCTTGACCCAGCTTGTGGAGAACCAGCCCTACTGAGCCTAGTTTGAGAGCCACTACAATAAGTAAAATATTCAGAAATACTCTTTTCCTAGCCCAGGGTGGAAAATAAACAGTAAGTCAGGACCATTTGGATGGTTTTAATCCTGACAGAAGAGAAAAAAGAAAAAGGCAACTGGCATGAACTCCTTCTATTTCTTCAAGTCCAGCTTGGTCTCAGTAGCCCTGGTTTTCCTAATACAGACAGTCACATAGTGATATATTCTCAGCCTTTCATTTTCAGGAAAAGGAAATTCCTACAAAGGAGAGTATACTATATGTAAATGCAAGTTCTATCTAGCCATAAGTATCTTGATGACACTGTAAATATCTAGGGCTGAAAACACCCTGTAATGTAACAAATGGATGGGCTTGAGTCTCCTTAGCCTTCCCTGGATTGTTCGCCAAATAGCTAAGCAAGCCTCAGCCTACTCCCTTTTATAAAGCAAGGATTCCTCTTACAGTGAAAATAACAATTCCTTGACTTTTCTGTCTTAAAGATCAGATTTCTGCACATTACATTTTCTGAAAGTAAGAAAGATGTGTAAAAACAACATTCATTCAATCCAGCATATATACCCTGCGCACTTCGCCACCCCCATGTGACTGCTGCTACCACCACCACCACCAAGACTCTTGACTTCCTCTAGGTCCCACGGTTGGAGGAGGCTTGGCCACCACCAGTTCCACAACCACTACCACCCATGATAATGAATGATTGACTGTAAACTCCAGAGGGATACAAATTTCCATTCCCTATTTCTTAGCCCTGCACCATTCACTCATTTATCCATTCTTTCCATAAATATGTATTGAGTGCCTACTATGGCCAGGTACTATTCTATTAATAGGTGCCAGGGATACAGTAATTTAACTCAGAAGACTAGCTCTCTATTCTCATGGAACCTGCCTTTTAGTGGGAGGAGACAAGAAACCAATGAATAGATGAAAGGATAATTGATGGTGACAAGTGTAATCAGAAAAGGGAATGGGTAGGAAGCGACTGGAAGAGAAACTTAGGTTGGGTTGTTGAGAATATGCCTTTCTTAGGAAGTGATGTTTACAGGGAGACCTTAATGACAAGGAGTCAGCCATGCAAAGAATCTGGGCAAAGAGCATTCCAAGCAGAGGGGATAACTAAAGCAAAAGTCCTAAGGCAATAGCAAGATTACTATTCAAGAAACAGAAAGTCAGTGAAGCTGAAATCCAGTCTGTCGGACGAAGAAAGTACAAGACAAGGTGAGAAAGGGAGGCATGCCCTAGCTAATGTAGAAGCTCTGGGCCAGGGTAAGCAGTCTTGATTTCATTCAAAGCCTAATGAGAACCCTTTGGAAAATGCTAAATTTGGCAGTGGCATGATCTGATTTATAGTTTTAAAAAATCATGTTGGCTGCTGGGTAGAGAATAAACTGACGGATCAAGTGATAAAAAGGAAACTCCTTAGGAAGTGATCATAGTGGTCCAGGAAGAAAAAGCAGTGGCTTAGAAAAGAATGGTAATAGTGGGCTGTTGAGAAGTGGAAGGACTCAGGAATGGCCTGCCTTGGTTCCTTCTGCATGGTTTATCTGTATCAGATAATTATCAGCAACTGACAAATATTTATTGAGAGCACCTACGCTATGCCAGGCACTGTGCTAAGCACTACTTGTTACAAACCCACCACCTCTTGCCCTGTTGCCATACGAAGCTCCAGGTTAGGGAAGCCACTGCCCATCCCAGCCTTGCCCCTTTTTCAGGGCCAGAGGCACACCCCTCACCCCACCCCTGCCCTCTACTCCAGTGCTGAGCTGGGTTGATGGGGTGGTGGGTAGTGTTTACAGTTGGAAAATTGATGCCATAAAAATAAAGTCCAAAGTTCTCCCAAGATCTCCGAGCAAAGACAGG